CTCTTTCCTCTGTAGTGTTGAATTTCTAATGACTTTCAGTGAACTGGACAAAAGCAGGAGTCATTTTGTCCAGCTTTATCTTATAATTACCATTTCCTGCAGCGCTGAATTTAAGATTTCTGCTCTGAACAGTCCCCTGACTTGTGTGCGTTCAGCCATTACAGAAAGGATTTGGAACTGCAGTACAGGATAGCTGTACTTTTGAGATTTTTACAGTTCTGTATGTGTTATTCAGGTCCTTGGTTTTCCTTTCATGGCACTTAAAATGTGTGACTAAGTGTCTTGCTTGCTAGCTTTGGCTAAGTGGCTGTGCAAGTTTCTTGCCATAGTTCTGGCTGGTTGGTTGTTGTCCTAATTCTACATGATGTAGACCTTGAGAAAACCAATCTCTTCTCTTACAGCATAGAACAAAGTATTAAGTACTAAATATTTGATTCTTGCATCAGTTAGTTTATTTGGTGTCCATTGCCACACAGTCTAGGAAGTGTCTAACTTCTTCAGAGTTACAAGTAGGGAACTAACATGTTATAAATACACTACTACTATTGTAATGAAAACTGAATTATTTGCAGAGACGGCGAGGACCTGGACAGTCAGGGAGATGGTAGCAGCCAGCCTGATACTATTTCAATTGCCTCACGAACCTCACAGAACACACTAGACAGTGATAAGGTAAGTTTCCCAGGTGTTGCTGTGCTCTGAGAGCAAATGATTCATCCCTTAGCATGAGTTAGCACCCACAATTAGTTCTTAGTACCTTCAGGAATGGAAGGTCTCTTAAAAATACAGGTCTCTTAAAAATAGCTGTCTGCAATAGAGAAAATACCTCAATACCATGGGGGAGCAGGAGTGATTGTTTCAATATAATAGGTCATGAAGAAACTGTGTCCTCTCTGTTCTGCAGCTTGTTCAAAGATTTGACCCAGTTTAAAAACAAAGTTCTATTTTCCGTAAAATTTGATACCAACACACAGACTTCTTCTTGATGTTAGTCTCAGCCTTTCTGGAAGCATACCATCTCCTTTTTTTGTTAGCTTCAGGCTAATTGCCACACAGTTACTGTTGTGAAGGAAAAATACTCTCCGGTGTTTATCCTACGGGAGTAAGAGTGTTCACTTTCTGCATGAAAGCTGATGGAAATTGCCAGGAGTAACCTGCAATGTATCATATGATACTAGGGTTGGTGTTTCCTTTCCTCCATCTCTGTCTATAGATTCTGGCTGGATTACACCATAAGGATACACAGACACAGTTTCTCCTGGTTGAAAGAGAGGCATCAAAAGAGTAAAAATTCTTATGAAACATATGTGTTACATGGAGTTGTAATAAGATTTCAGGCAAGTGAGAAGTGTTAGGATGCTGGAGGGAGGTAGAGATGGATAATAGAAGTTTATCAAACAGAAGAATGAGAAAAAACACAGAAGCTGCCTAGCAAATTACTTGAAAGTGTGGTTAGGGTTTTCTGGCCTGTTACCTTCCTGGGTAAAATTGTTCTGATGAGCCATTCAAACTACGTAGATAAATAACCAGTGTCCTACAGGGTTACTGAGTGAACAGCTTCTCAGAATAATATTTTAACTATTCCCATTGTCACCTAAACTCAGGGAGTTTTCTGTATTTTTGCATGTCACTTAAACTCTATTAATAGTTTGATTATTCCATGTAAGAAGCAGACAGAAGGAGGGAAATATAAGATGCTTAGGTTGCTCTTGTGTTTGTCGAGAATGTTTTGACCTTGTGCATTTGTACTGAAGTTGGTCTGTAGTTTTGGCAGTAGCTTCTTGTCAAGACACCTGTGAGAAAAAACAGTTGGTTAGAGAAAAAAATAGTCTTTTGACTCTTGTTTTGCTGTTTTATTCTTTACATTCTTACTTACCTATTTAGTGATTTGCAAAAATTGTAGTTTGCATGCTAGCGAACAGTTTAGTTCAATTTTTTTGTGTTCTTAAGAGTTTAGGTAATCTATCACACCCAGAAGCAAGAGATGCTCTCTCTGATTTCCCTGATTGTTGGCTAAGATGTCAAGCTGTATGCACACAGCCTGGCTGGATTGTACCTCAGTTCAAATGGAGGTGATGCAATCCCTCTCTGCCTTGGAGAGCCATGGCCCTTCTTCAGTTGTTTGTGATATGCTGTTTACTGCATTGAATAGCATGGATTGTCTCCTGTTGCCCTTCACAGTAATATTTCATGCATCATGTGAGAATTGCTAAGAAAGTTAGCCGAGTAAAATGCCCTCAGGATTGTCTTCCAGTCTGACATGGGGAAGAGTCATACCAACAACCTGTTCAACAGGAGTTAAAAGTAAAAAGTATGAGGAATGGAAGGAAGGAGAAATGAAGAACACTTTTCAATATTTTCCTGACTAATTAAATTTTGAATGTGATTAGTGACTCTAGTGTTGTTTTTAAAGTATTTTTGAGTTCTCACATTAGTGTATTAAATTTTTGTTAGACTTCTCTTTGACAAAACAAGCCATCTGAAGACTCCCTGAAAGTTACTTGTGCTATGTGTCCTATGTCCAAGGAAGGAATTTATTATTTGTGCACTTTAAAAAAGCAGTGTGGCTTTGTTTAATGTTCGTGATTAGTGACTCTAGTGTTGTTTTTAAAGTATTTTTGAGTTCTCACATTAGTGTATTAAATTTTTGTTAGACTTCTCTTTGACAAAACAAGCCATCTGAAGACTCCCTGAAAGTTACTTGTGCTATGTGTCCTATGTCCAAGGAAGGAATTTATTATTTGTGCACTTTAAAAAAGCAGTGTGGCTTTGTTTAATGTTCAATGTTTCTAATTTATTATTTGTGCACTTTAAAAAAGTGTGTGTATTAGCAGTGTGGCTTTGTTTAATGTTTAATGTTTCTATTATATCTTTTGGTTTGCCAAATACATCAAGAAGAGAAAATCTTTAATCTACTTAAAAATGCGAAATAAAAATTATTAAGGGACAGTAACAGGCAGAAGGCCAACAAAATCTGTAGAGTATCTTAAAACTGTTGCTGAGGCTGAAGTAATCTCTCGTTTTGTATGTTGAAAATTCATTAGCTGCAGTCCATTTGGGGTTTAAAATTAATTCTGTCTTCTCAGCTTAGAAGCTTGAATCATGTATGACTGTCATACAGACATCAAGTAAAACAGTGTTATGCATTTAGGTGCTGTTGATGTGGTTAGCCAGAGGAAGCAGTGGACCTCCTCAGTCCAATCTGGAGCATGTCCCAAATTGAGATGGGATTCCAAATCAAGAGACGCTAAAAATATCAAATAATTTAAAATAGTATTGCTCAAGTGGTAAAAATATTTAGCACTGTTTTGCTTAATTATACTTTTCCCAACCATTTTTTCTGTTCATGTGTATCCACTATTGAGATTAAGGAAAGACAACAAATACCAAACATGTCATACTGGTCAACAGCCAAGTAAAACCATTCTTTTATTTCCTCCATATATATGTTCAGACAATTGATTCTTTTAAAATAAATGTTTTGGTTAGAAGTGCTAAGCTGTTATACATGAAGAATATCGAGAATTAAATCCTTTATCCAAGAGTCAATATTTTTTCTCACCTCCTCAGAGATACACATTGAAAGACCTAAAAATTCTTAGTCGTGGTAGTAAGTGGTTGAATATTATCCAGATGAGCTTCTTTCCTTGCATCCTGTTTCCTGACATAATTGGAATTGTAACAACAGAGAATAACTTCATGATTAGCCCTTTTTGTTCTCCACCCTTGCTTTCTGGGCTAGAATTGTAACTTCCTCATTGGCTCTGCTGTTGCAATGCTGCTTCTCAGTAATGGCTGGGATGATGCAGCAGGCCATATGTTTATAAAGTTGACATCCTTCCCAGCTTCATGTCATCTGAAAACTGCATTGGAAGGTGGAATTAGAATTCAGAGTAATGTCGGCAAATGGGAGAAATTAATTGACAAAATACAATGCAATTTAATAGGAACATGTTTCAGCTAATGTGAATAGGTCGAAATAGTTAACTACTAATGCAGACAGTGCAAATCTTGAACAGTTTTTGAGAGGATGGTCGAGAAGCTATAGAGGCTCAGAAGCTGTTGATTATTTTACCAGTGTGATCCATTTGGTTGAGGGCGAGGGAAGCAGCAATATATTGGTTTGTAGAAATAGAATACTGAGCTGCAGGACACATAATCTTTATTCTTTACTTAGCACTTGTAATGCTTCTATTAGATCCTGCAGCCAGTCTTGAGTGCAGAATTTTAGAAAATCACTGCTCCGTTGGAGCAGTTCCAGAGGAAAGAAGAGAAAGATTTATCAAATGTCTACCAAACATAACTTACTAACTCTTTATCTGGCCTTGTACTAAGAAGTCTAAAGAAAAAAAGCAGGAGGAAGAACTTCAGGTGTGTAAAAAGCTACCACACAGAGTTACAGATCAGTCTGTTACCTATATTTTCAGTGGATGGGATGAGATCAAAGGACTTAGTTTTTTTTAAAAGATTGAAATAATATTTTTTATGAGCATGAAAATCTGAAACCCTAGAGCAGAATGATTGTGAAGGCTAGGGAATCTCCATAACTGGAGTTCTTTGAGGACAGTTTGGATAAAGTTAATGATTCACACAGGTGTAGCTGATCATGCTCTAGAGCAAGGGAATGAAGTAGACTTGGTAATTTTAGATCCCTTTTCAACCTGTGTATATTATCATGGGGTGTATCTTCATGTTGCAAGACATGCTAAGTACATCCATAGCACTGACCCATCCTGAAGTATTGGAAGGTGAAATGGAGTCCAGAGTGAAATATAAAATTTTTGACAAAGAGGATTTTACTCCATCAAAGCATCTCAGTTTTCTGAGTAAGTGCTTGCTTATGACTTAATGATGCTCTTACTGTACCCTTCTCAGTAAATATTTTGCCCTTCAGCTTTCACAGTGTTCCTTCCATTCATATTCTGTAGCTGAGTAGCCAGCCTTGTAGGTGGCTAACAAATAAAAGAGATTCTTAGCCCATTCATTTTGCCTTTCAACAGTTACTCGCCTCGGAGTATCATCCGATTTTTAACATTGTCTTTTGAGCTTCATCCAATGCACAGGAAATGAAATGGGGAGGCTGAAGGAAACAGTGTAGCTCTGATAGATTTTTTTTTTTTTAAATGCTTGTATTAAGTGAGCTGGTAGAAACATTAAATAATCCAAAGTGGTATTTTGGTAGCTGAGAAGATGAGAGACTTTTAGAAGAGCTGTCATAGATTCTTATCCTAAATAGTAGGATTCATGCTAGCTGCTGTGGGTGGTCAGTAGAGCAGTATTTTGTTTTGAAGAAATTGTCTTTTGTGCCCAGCTGGTAACACTTTGTACTGCTGTCTATGTGAACTTGTATTTCATTGTCATGCTTCTTTAAGCTTGAGTGTAGTTCTTTGGAAAGCAGAAAAAGGACTGAAGCAGCAGGAGACAACCAAGTATTTAGTTCTGCCAGCTGAGTCTGTGGAAGAGAAAGGGCTCCCATCAGTAAAAAAAATGCTAGTAAAAAAACCAGACATGGCTCTGAGTAGACACCTCTTTTCAGAGCCAGAAACCAAGTCTGGACAGCTACCTGGTCAAAGGAAATTGCTCATTATTTGAGACAGAACTTTGGTGCTATCCCATTTTCTTTTCTCCTACAGTGCACTTGTTTCCATTTTAAAAGGGGATTAAACATTTTCATGCTTGAAATAACTGAGAAATCTTGTTAGCTTCTCTTTCCTTTCCCTTCTGAATATAAAATTACCATGGGACATTAAATTTAATTTGCAGTCCTGAGAGCGGGTTATATGGCCTGATGTAAAGGCTCTTGTACATCTGGTCAGTAGTGATCTTCCCAGGTAGTGGTAGCAGATGAACTCTTAGTGTGGTGCCTCTGACTTCAGCAAACCTGTGTATTCAGCCAGTGACTGTGTGCATGTTTGTCATTTGGGTTTTTTTCTCTCTCCAAGCAACAGTGATTAAAAGGCCCAGAGAGGTGAACAGAGATGGTTAACATTAATTTCAGCAGCAGCAAGACACTATGTCCCATGATAAGCTGTTTAATTAAACCTTGCGCCTTCTTTAATCTGCAGTTCTGTTTCTGTCTGGCTTTTGTTTCTCATCTCGTCTCTGTCTCTCCACTTTCCATGTTTCAGACATAGCATCATTTATTTTTATCATGCGTGATTAATTCAGTTTACATAAAGGGTTTCTTGAGAAGGATGGATAAAGTATATAAAGCCTGTGTTCAGCCTAAATTTGGATTTAGATGGTTTGTAACTCTTTTCCCTTCAGTGCAAGTCAGTCTCCCTGTTCTGCTGTGCCTCTTGCTCTTCCCTCCAGCTAGCCTAGAGAGCCTTGCCAAAGCTGTCCAACAACAGCTGTTGAGCAACGCACTTAATCACAAACACTCCTTGCTGTCCAACTGCATTTAATCAGTGTGAAAGATGAAACTGCTTTCAGAAAGTGTGTTATGGAGAGAAAACAAGCAATGAAACAAAGGAAAGCAGCATTTCCTAGCCACTACTGTAGTAGGGAGAAAGAATAATTCTTAACCCAAGAGAAAGATTGGTAAATGCTTTTTTGGTCAGCTCTCCAAAATGATGCATATGTGTGCTGAGTGGAGAAATCATTGTTTTAAGTGTGTTTGGCAGTAGTGGAGAAGTCCTGCCCTGAGTTGCATCTAACAGCATTAGTGCATGTTTGAGGTGGTGTGGACTTAAGAAATGCATGCAGGAAGTGTCTTGCACACTATACTAAAGTGTGATTGAATATTAAATTTCAGTGGAATACTGACCAGCTGCGATATCTGATTCCCACACAGCCTGAAAGAATTTTTTTGTACTTTCAAAGTTTCTGGCATAGCCACTGACAGCCTTTGTTTGCTTTTTCCTTTAGCTTAATGCTATATAAAATACTTAGAGAAAATAAAATCTGAGATCTTACTTTTTTATTAGGAGAAGAAGAAGAAAGAACATCTCTATTACCAGTCACAAAATAGATTTTAATTTCTATTTGTAGGAAGCAAAGGGTCAGGAAAGCAAGCAGAGCCCCAAAGATATGCTCCTGTAGGAAATTAGGAGAAAATACAAGGACTAGATGCAGTTTCTGAAAAGTGACACCTTGTTACTGTCTCGGTGCTTGCAGTGATTGAGATATGGACTTCCTGAGAAAATTTGGTCTGCACGGGACACTTTGTGAAGTCATACTTCATCAGCTTTTTTTGTTAGACCCATCAGGCATACAGATGGTTTCAATCGTTTCTGAGTTTGTCTGACGAAGACTGTAACATAAATCGATACCAGAAAACAAGGGAAAATGCTTTACTTTCTCCCCTTTGGCATAGTTTTGCATGGACT